CTAGATGATTCTATGATTCTATGATTCTATGATTCTAAGCTAGAAGTCTGTTTTGCTTAGGAACCCTTTATGGTCAATAACGTAGCTTATAGGCACTTAAGAAAGATCTGAATTGTCCAGCGGAGGAACCTGTTTAGACTCTGCAGGCAATGGGGGGTAACTTTGTTCCATAGTTAGATGGGAACAATCTACTCTGAAGTCCAATGTATAGGGTAGCGGAAATGTCCGTACGTTGTTGAAGGTACACATACGTAGTTTTCATGGTGGATCACCAAACTGAAATACATTAGGTGATGTCAGTATAGATTTGTAAATTCAGAGCAGTTTTTTCATTATGCATATATTCATTATTTATACCATGTGACAAATTTCAAAACAATTTTCATCTTACTTGGTTTTTTGCTTCTACCCTGTGTTTATGCTTTCCCAATCTGACAGCAGCACGGCTTTCGTAATGGTTACTTTTGACACAGTCCTTTCACTGGGATTGTGAAATTGCAGAAATTTTTTACTTTGAAAACACATTATGAGGTTTCTGACATTTTCAAGATGTCTTTCTGATATTACTTGGTCTTAAGTAAGTATTTTTTAAAAAAACGAAGCTTCTAAGCTGAAGTTACTAATAAAGACACAGGAAAAGAAACTAATTGCATGCCTCGTGTTAAGATTTACACTGTTTATGGGATAGATCAGTAAAACATTCTTAGCCTAACTAGGAAGCGGGAAATACGTTTCCTTGTCTAGAGGGAAGATCCCCACCCTGACATCATGATTATTGTTAAATATTAGTAAATTTTGTAATGTCTGACTTATCCCTGAGCATAAGCTTAATTTCCTGGGCAAATTTCCTGTTTTGAAAAATGCTTGCTCCAATGAAATACTGAAAAATACTTTCTCTGCCTGACCTCTCTGTCTCGAAAGTATGAGGTGAAAATCTGCCAGTCATTTCATAGATACATTGAAAAGAATGTTACTTGTGAATTAGGCATACAGTTGCATGTCTGATTTCCCTTGTAACTCTGCAATTCATCATTATGAAAATCGAGTCCCATCATCCTGTGAAGTAGACCTGCTGTGAATGCACAGCTAGGAGGAAGTACGAATTCCTGCTCTGCATTTCCGTGCACATTTATTGCTCGGGACTAGGACACTGATGTAAATAAGTGCACGTTTCGCTACTTCTTCATACCTGACTGCAGAAAGTCAAGAGTAGTGGGCTGGAGCCATGGGATCAGCCTTCTGGCTGGTGGCCTCAGCAGCTGAGCCATCGAGAGCAGCAGCGTGCGGTGCTCGCATGCTGGCGTATTCCAGCAGCAGATTATGAACATCTTTCTGTTCCTGCACAACCAAGAGGAAGCAGGGCAGGAATTGCAATTCACAGGTGTGTCTCTGAGTCACGACATCTCTTGGGGCTACTTTCATAGCTGTGCAGCTTTCACATCAGTTTAGGCTTAGATCTGTGCCAGGACTGAAAATGTGTTTGCTAGGAGTGCCTCAGATGTATTAGTTCTTTTACGTATGATTTCACATCCTTCTGCAATGTGTTCCCTTTCCTTCCATTCTATTTCTTTTTATCTTCAACACATTTCTGTGGCTTAGCAGTTAAAACTGTGCCCATGTAAAGTAAATGACTATAAAACATTGGAAAAGGTCACTCAGAATACGGCCAGTGGTAGCCTTCTTGGCATTTTACTGCTGAAAACACAACATTATTTTTCTCTTTGCTGCCACTTGGCAATATCTCATGACTGTAAGCCATTTATCATTTGTAAAATGGCACTCTTTGTACAGATACACTGTTATGAATCATAAGCAAATTGTTTTACCCATACAAAATTGCATTAGACTACATCTGTACTTCACTAAGAATAATCATTGCTCCTTGTCCACAAATACGATGCTCCTGAATACTTTACAGTGGATTTTTACAGTACTTTATGGCAGTGTTTTGAGGAGATGGCAATACAGAGGACAAACAGAAACAAGAAGGAAGCATAGTTCAGCAATTAAAACATTCTACTTTTTTCCTTGTACTTTCTTAATGTTGTCAAGCTTTTGTTGCAAAGCATATCATTAACCACTTGCAATACCATGATAAACTTAGGACTCACGCACTAAAATGCTCAAATTTCGCAATACATCAGCCGCAAGAGAAAAAGGGCATGCTTTTCCAATCCAATGCAGACAGCTGTTTGCAATCCAATTGCCCCTGATTAAGCTGGCTGAATGCGAGTGATATTTTGAAGTTATGCTAAACTCAAGCTAATGCACCCTTTCTCTCGGTAGACCGCATTCACTCATGTGCAGCCCCATTACAATCCAGCCATATGGCTCCCAGACTGGAGCTAGCTCAAATCCAGTCAGCTTGGAGCACAGGTGTGGCTGTCTGCACCTGAGAGATAAGCATTACTTCAGGGAAATCTCTGATGTGTGGCTGAACAGTTGTGATTTTAGGGAAGAGAGACAGGGAGTATCTTGCAGATACACCAGCTAGTTGTAGCTAAAAGTCTTCAACAGAATCTTCCAATAGAAATTTGATCAAAGTTCTGAATTTGAAGTTCTTCAAAGAAAAACAAAATATTTTAATTTTGAAGTGCTTTTTTAATGAGTCATCTCTGGTTTAATATATACACATGTACAATATACAATAGATACTATAAACAAGTATACAATGTACTTGCTACCCAGTCCTTGCTTCCTATGGCAACTAGGTGTGGTAGGCTGGAGGTTCACTGCCTGATTGATATAAATTAAATTAGTCCAGGTGTCACTGGATTCTGTAGAGTGTACATTTAGAACACCTGTAATTATTCACATTGCAATTTTAATAGTTTGTTACTATCAACCCCTTACAGCAATTCAAAAGAAGTCTCAGGGAGAGGCTTTATTGAAAATACTTTAATTACAGACTGAGTTATTTTCCCACATCACATAAGTAAAAGATACTGTATGGTTATTACAGCCTCATCTCTACTTCCTCTGCTTTACTACGTTCCATGAAATTCTCAAGAAACGTAAATCCTTAAAATTTATTTTTCTGCTTCATTTCTTCAGAAGCATTATACTCTTTGTCTTACTTAAGTAGATCATTTAAGAAATAGATCAAAGCTGGGCTATGTTACAGTTTTCCTACTGCTCTTCTTTCAAAGACCCCGTTTCAGCACAGGACTAAAGCAGATTTCTGAAGGTGTTCTGGTACCTGAAAATACTGGTGGGCACTTCATAGAGATTTCCAAAAGCATGTGGTCATGAAATGTACTTAACTTCCTTTGAATTAAAATAAAATGATACTTAAATTATATCAAGGCTTTTCAAAAACTGTCTCGGACCTTGTAACTGTTTATCCTTAGATGCACACATATGCGTGCTTAAGGACTTTGCTGAACCAAACCAATGTCAGCAGGCAACTCTGTGGCTGTTTTAAATCATTTTGGTCCGCAGCAGAACCTAGACAGTATGATGACCTATTTCTTCTTTTCTTACATCCCTGTTAAACTAGATGTGTGAGGAGACCTGAGCCAAGGGAAAGATTTTGCAATCTCTTTTGGGTAGTTACTGTTCTTTCCTTTCCTTTTCCATTTTGTAGCCCTCTATCTGCAACAGATCCAAAAGGCCTCATTTGAAGAAAGTTATGGAAAACAGAGATGGGCTTAGATAATCTAACTACTTACAGAAACTCAGAGAGTTTACTTTTATATATAATGATTGTGACTATTTCTTGGCATAATGTCTGTTCTGGATTGTCTTGTTTTTATGAGGAACTGGAAGATTTGGCTGCTGCTGTGGTGTATTTGAGCCATTGGAGCAGGTCACAGCAGAGTACAAAGATTAAATGTTTCACAACTGAAGAAACAGACCAATGGTTCACAGCATCAGCTGTGAGGAGGGTGCTTTCTGTGCCCAGTAAGTCTTGTCCCCTAAATCAGCTAAAATGTACCACTAGGGATATGACAGAAGATTTCCATTAAAGTGTATGACCTAAAGTGCAATTGAACCATATAAAATTCATTGTGCTGTTTTCTTTATTCCGTAGCACTTATAGGTATGCTCAATGTACAGATAGTCCTTTCAGTGTTGTAATACAGAATCATTGGAAAACTGGTCAATAAAGAACTTCAGTGTGGGCTTCATCTGATCTGTCTTTACCTGCTGTGAAACATTTAGTTCAAACTACCTCTTTAGGCTACCTGAGTGTCCAGTGGGTCCCTTCTTTTATCAGGTGGTCAGCTCAAAACTATGGGATACATTGCTCTCCAGTGTTGCCTGACTTCTCAGCTGAGGGAGCATAGACACCAAGCTTCAAATAAACCCCACCCCAGATGTGCAGTTGTTGGCTTTGTCCCTGTTCTGATCAGCCTCAAGTAATTTTCTGTATTTCTAGTAAATGAAGGGTAACTTGGAGCATATAAGAAAAACAATGAACACTCAAGACAGATAAAACCAATACAAAGATGAGGGAAATCTTCACCTGTTCAGTCATTTTTTACCATAGACACTGGGGTGGTGAAGCAAAACGAGAGGAGTTTGCAGGGCTTAAGAAGTCAGGACTAAGCCTTTATTCATATCCTTGCCCAGCCAGGGAGCGACTGGGAAGTTACTGCCTAGTTTTTAGGACACACACCTTGGAGACTCCTGAGTGAAAAGGTTCTTCTTGGCTAAGTTTTACGTGGTGGAAAAGAAAAACAATGAAGAGAAAAGTCTATGTTGCAGCTTTGGGAATTATTTTAAAAAATGGTTCATTTCTAATTGTTGTTTTCTTTTCACAGCTGCTTGCAGAGGATTGGCCCTTCGGTGTCGAAATGTGCAAATTAGTACCCTTCATTCAAAAGGCATCAGTGGGCATCACAGTGTTGAGTTTGTGTGCCCTCAGCATAGATAGGTGAGACCCATTTTTTCAGCAAACTCTATAATTTCTTTTCAGTACGGGCATTGGCTCAAATTTGCCTTTCCACTCAGCTGATATAATACAAATAAGCTGAGTCTAGGCCAGTTAAACCAGGTGGGTTTTCATATATTTTTAATTTGCAAATGTGTGCTGTTGCTTCAGGTACCGAGCAGTTGCTTCTTGGAGTCGCATTAAAGGAATTGGAGTGCCGAAGTGGACTGCTGTTGAAATTGTACTGATCTGGGTTATATCGGTGATATTGGCCGTTCCAGAAGCTATTGCATTTGACATGATTACAATGGAGTACAGAGGAAAGGAACTTAGAATCTGCCTGCTTCACCCCACGCAGAAAACATCCTTTATGATGGTAAGACACTGACATTTATAAAACCTCTGGAACAGTTCAGATCTTCTCAGTGTTGTGTGGATTGTAATGTGCATAAGCCTATGTGAAATGTAGGTGAATATAATGTTAAATGAAATGCTGACAAATTTCTGAAGTATATTGGTTAAAAGAAGAGCATTCAAAAACTTTTGCCTTTTTGTGGGCTTTGGGCGTAATGTACACCTTGCAGAGGTGCTTTTCAGGACAGACTGGCTGATTAGTTATAACATGGTTTCCAAAATGCTCAACATTCAACTCCTAACAATGTTTTTGCTTCTGTTTTCCTTCTAGTTTTACAAGCAAGCTAAAGACTGGTGGCTGTTTAGCTTTTACTTCTGTTTGCCACTGGCTATCACAGCATTTTTCTATACTCTCATGACCTGTGAGATGTTACGAAAGAAAAGTGGGATGCAGATTGCTTTAAATGACCACTTAAAACAGGTAAACATTTATCCCTGACAGCTCTGCTGACTGTAGAGAGGATGACAGTAATACCTTTACTGACTTTACTGTCACATCATTATTCTGTTCTTGTATAACAGCTTCAAGATTGCTACTAAGGAGAAGCTTCCTAACAGTGGTGCTGCTGAATTCTTATATCTATAAATATATATCTCTCTCAGATCTCTTAGAAACCTAAGATTTTCACTGGCAATCAAAAAACTGGTGGTTTTTTTCCTGTTTGGTGTTAATACTTCAAGTTTTATAGTTTTTATTTTTTCTTTACAATAATGAGAGCTGGATATTTTGTAATGAAAACTGAAGTCATGTTGTAATGTAGAAGCTGGTGCTGTAAATTTGTTAATTATTTTGAATCAGTTTCACGCTGAACTATAGAGAGGTTAGCAGTACATGTTAGCAGAACAAAACACATTCTAAAATACATTCCAAGTTAGTAGTGCACCAGAGACAAACATCATACGTCACTAGAATTAAACTACATTTGTACTATAAAGTATATTTGTGCTCCTTTCCTCTTGCCACAATAAAGCTGTAATTGAAATCTCTTGGGGCATTTAAAATAAGACCTGAGATCAAAGCACAAAATACAATTGAATACAAGCTGGTATCTAAAAGTGATTGGGGAGGCGAATATGTTCTTCATTTTAATTTAAATGACTGGGTTTATGTCTTTGATTTTTTCATTTCATTACTCATACTTTTTAAAATTCGAGGTACAGAGAATCAGTGCAAGACATCTAAAAGAACAGAAAAGATTAAGTACATATTCCAAGAAAATAAGGTATTCTGGTGTTCTCCTAACTCCTATTTTGATAGGGGTTTTATTTTGTTTATTAAATGTTTAGGTGTTAGAAGACAACAGCAATCAAGAGACAGACAGAAACTATCACACTGTTCTGTCCAATTTTCTTTTTTCAGAGACGTGAGGTGGCCAAAACTGTGTTCTGTCTGGTACTTGTTTTTGCCTTGTGTTGGCTCCCACTTCACTTAAGCAGAATATTGAAGCTCACTATTTATGATCAGAAGGACCCCAACAGATGTGAACTTTTAAGGTGAGACTGTAAAAATAAAATGCCTGTGCGCTGCTGACATTGTACATAAACATATTTGGATTTCCTAATGAACTAGCTTACTTTGTGCGTCTGAAGTTCTCCAGGCTTCTTCATCCAGGGCACTCTGGTTTCACTCCAGTAGCAGAGTCAGGAAATTATGAGGCATCCCATGAACACAGGGCTTCTGTCCTGTTTGCCTGTATTCTCCTCATCCCTTCTGGGACTGTCCTGCGGTGATGTTACGAGGGCTGAGGAGGAATTTCTGTCTCCGTTTTCAACAGAACAGCTAGGATTAAATCTGTGAAGAAAACCTTATGAGTGCTTCCTCCCACAGGTTAAGGGGGTTGGATCTTCTGAAATCACTTTCATGAGAATGGTCTACTGATTCAAACTTTATTACTGAGCGCAATTGTTATCTCCATGAGTTAACCCTGTTAATATAAGCCCCTTTACTATTACGTTTAATAGTCTTGGTTGAGTGAAACTGAGTGAATTTTCATAGCTGTGAACCTCTACTAAGCCTTTTCAGAAAAAATGAGAAGTATCTCACTTACTTTAATTTCCACACAGCTTTTTTCTTGTGATGGACTACATTGGCATTAACATGGCTTCGCTGAATTCCTGCATCAATCCCATAGCTCTGTATTTGGTGAGCAAAAGATTCCAAAACTGCTTTAAGGTAAGAGGCTGCAGGGAGCTGCTCCTCTGGTTAAAAGATGATGTCAGCAGTAAAATTCATTCCTTAACATGCACAATGTGTTTTAAATGGTCATTAAATTTTACTTTAAACTTTAACTGGGTTATGGTAGGTGCTCTCTACCTCTCCTGCTGCAGCTACATAGAAATCATAGGGGCAAAAAGAGAAAGCAAAAGAGAGGAGCGTACAATAAACCCTCTCAGCACCATGCTAATCAGTGCTACATCACTTCCTGACTAGAGCTGGCACCCAGCCGCTCCGAGAGCACTGACAAAGCAGACTCGGACCGCGTTACGGAGATTCACGTAGCCATATCCTCTGCAACCCAGTGGGGAGAGCGCTGACCCCAGGTACCCCCCCCCAGCCTGACCGAGCGCTTAAATCAGCGGGCAGTTATGTAAAGCAGAGGGTGCAAGTATCCACTCGTCCCTTTCCAACACCAACATTTTATGAGACAGGCCTGCCTCTAGTTTGGCCTTGGTTTGAGTGAATAGTCCTGGGCACTAATTCTCCGCACAGGACTTCAGGCTCTGCATCACATGTGGATTGCAGCCCAAAAAAAGTCCTTCAGCCTTCATGTCTGCTTGGAAAATGTCCAGACTTGGGCTTTTTTGTGGCTCCCCCAGTGTCTGTCTTCAGACACTGTATCAGGGTTCTTACACCGCCTGCCAAAAATTCTTGTTTTTCTTTCCTTGCCGAGCATTTAACTGTTGGCCACTGTTAGGCTTATTGCTTGGCTGTGTAAATTCCTTATTGGCTATATCATTCCATCAGAGGCCAGTCAGCTCTACATCGAGTAGTGGTAGGGTATTTCCCACATAATGGTGACAGCATATGTTGCAGAGGCTTTAGTGTCAGTCTCGTCTTCCCTGTCCACATTGCTGGCTCCCTGAAAAAGTCACTGGAGCTGAGAGCACGTAAGAGATATCTACCATCCTGAGTGTGGAAACAAGTGGGTCTGCAGGATCCCAGATGGACTTCCAGCACCCAAAGGCCCGTCAGTAGCATCAGCAAAAGGCCTGCAGTACATCTAGCAAATGTATGAACTGTATGTAGGTTTTCACCATTCTCCTACTTAGTTCTCTTTTTTCCTCCTCAAAAAAATCAACTAAATAGCAGCATCTTGCTTAGAAAGTACAGATTACCATGCATACATTTTTTTCCAAGAAAGATTATCAGAGAAAGGACAACAAGGAGTCATAATTTTATTTTCAGATGCATTTAGAATTGCAGACCAGACTCAGTGGTATGTGTGTGGCCATTATTATATATAACGCAATATAACTCTGCCCTCCAGTACTCAGGTTGCTAATGGGCCATGCCAGAAGTTAGTGGCCATTTGAGCAATGCAAAGTTTAAGCTTGTTTCTTTGCTTACGCTGTAAGCCCAAAATGGCAGCTTGCACACTTGCTGTTTCCTACTGTACTGCTGAAGAACGGCAGCGTTTCAGTGCATTTTGCCACATGTGCAAAACAAAATGATGTAAAATGTTTATTCCTTTTATTTTAACAGTCATGCTTGTGTTGCTGGTGCCAATCCAAAGATCTGTTGTCCTTGGAGGAAAGGCAGTCCTGTTTAAAGTTCAAAGCTAATGATCACGGATATGATAATTTCCGCTCCAGTAACAAGTACAGCTCTTCATAAAGCAAGTGTAAAAGGTATATTCTCTTATATTAATGCTGGTGCCTTTTTAAGTAAAAGTGGCAATTATTCTTAATGAGATGGTAACGTTTAGAAAAATCTAGTTTTGTGTTTGCACAGAAAAGGTTATAAAAAAATAATTGCCACAAAACTGCGTCACGTTCAAAATCATGGACGTTTATAAAATCGTCATTTATGGAACATGAAGAAAAGCATAGAAAGAACAAGTCATTGTTAGCACTTGAATACTTCTGAATCAGCACTTCCAAATGATCCCCACTTCCTGTACATTAAATGATCATTTGTATTCGCTATAACAGTTGTAGGAACTGAAGTCACAGTAATTACTAAGCAGTATAATATAACGTTAATTGGATCAAAGCCATTATTATATATAAATCAATGTATTATCTTTTATAAAGCAGATTAACCACCATCACTATTTTGGCTTTTTTTAAATAAAACATGAAATACTTTGTAATAGAAGTTTAAATGTAAAAAAGTGGAATTTTTGTCAGGTAGCTAATGAAAATATTAAAGGATACAGTCAAGTTAAAAGTGCGTTTCACTCTGATGATTGTTTTTACCTATTTTTGTTAGAAGGACCCTCCCAAGGCCTCTATAAATACTACTTTGTAACCACTTTGTGTGTTCAGTGCATTTGGCAGCACCTTGGGTATGGTCCATTTCACTGTTTCTACGTTATCTGTGTTTAGTGACAGTGGAGAAGATAAAAACACACCAAAAGCAAAAATTAATACTACTAGAACCATAAAAACGATGGCTAGTATTGGAAACCATCTATTTTTAACTGAAAACAAATTGATTGTATCCCATGTAAACAGTAGGCATTCAAGAGCCTGACAGTTCTTCACTCGAGATACTTTTGCGACAATTTACAACTGTTCTTGCAATCCAAATACTGTCTTGGGGCAAAATCCGTTAGAAATAGCAGGTGGAAAAAATGCAACCAAGGAAAACAGAGGGAGAATTTGAACTTCTATTTTCATTTAGATTTAAATCTTCATAAAGAAAATAATTCACAAACTGTACTTCTAGAGAATGTGTTCTACTTCTGTAGTTCCATATTTATGGGCTTAAGATGTGTGATTAGTTTCTGCTTCTGTAAATAGTTTAGTGAAGCATAATTAATTATAAAGTATTAAAATATGGGCAGGACCCTGTGAGAAAACAGAAAGATAAAGATGCCTGTAGTAAACATGATGTGTGTTGCCAGGAGCAATGCATGTTTTGTACATACGTGACAGGACATTCTTTGGCTTTTCATTTCCTATTAATTTGTTGCAGATGTCCCCAAAGACTTATTAACATATTTTGTGCACTAAGGCATGAGTTTTTCAAGAAAAAATGTCATAAAACATGCTTTTATAGAAGACGTTTTCGATAGGCATGGTATTTTATTATAATAAGAATATTTATCAAAACTCAGGAATTTTTTTTGTAATTTCCAAATTTCACATGCAAGGATTTTTACCTTTTTTCCCAGTCTTTATTAACTTCAGATTTTTTAATAAACTTCCTTAAATATGCTCAGGATGAAAACAGTTTTCATTAAAATGTTCAGCTGATGTTGTGTTAGATGGGTTTCATCTCATCTGACTTCAGGTAGTTACAACTACCTTACAGACAGCTACAAACAGGAGAGGTGAACCCCATTCCTGGTGTTGCCCCATCAAAAGCTAGTAAGTGTATGCTTGTATAATCAAGCTGAGGACCTGTGCACATGCATTTGAGCATGGGCACGTGTTTTTGTGTGTGAGTATGTGTGCAAGTGTGTATGTTGTCTACCATTAGGTTGCTGTTAACCATCTTTCTGCAGCACATGCACCCAACTGCTATAATGCCGAACTTTTATAAATATAAACCTATTTAAAGTTTTGTTCTTCACATTTTTACCTTAACTTTCATGGTAACTTTCTCACGGTAAGCCATGAATATCACTTCACTTCACCCTGCCTGCATCTATTTCTGTGAAATGCGTTTCATCTATTAAGGATTTATCAGTTAAATCCTAAGTTTGATACTGATCAGTGTTATTTTCATCAAGATAGATCATTACAATATTGTACATGTATATTATTGTTATTTTTATTTAAAATATAGCTGTTGTATTGGCAAATTTTTAATTTTTTCCTTGACTAATTCTTTGTTAAGATGAGTCCTGCTAAGTCAGACATTTAGGTTTTGCAAAGGACCATACATACTGCCCACTTTTTGGAGTTAATAAATACATATTAGTACACTTCTTGTCTTTTTTGCAGTATTTTTCAAAGCAGTATTTTTACTGAAGCTCTCCTTTCCTGTAATAAAATTTTCCAAGCTTCTGCTCTCATACAGTTAAAAGAATACGCAGGAGAGCTCCAGTGCATCTGTGTTCTAGCTAAAATCAAATCTCTTAATACTGAAACAAGCATTTTCTGAAGTCCTCAGTATTCCTCTATCGACTGCAATCGATGAATGTTCAACCATTCAATTTGTTGAGAGCAGAATTAGGGCAGCAGAATTAGCACACAGCAATAGCTCTTTAAAAAACCTAGCTGACATTTGCTACCTTGAATAAAAAAAGCTAAATACTCTTTTTTTTTTTTTTTTTTTTTGATAAAGTAGTTGTTTAGAAAAGTTAGGAAAAGAGGTTGAAATCAGCTTGTGGGGTAAACCAGTCAGTCTAAGACTCGCTAAGCCTCAAACAGGGGGTCACAGGTAGCAGAACAACTGCAGAGAGGCATGTGCATCTTTATAGGAGTTCAATGTGCTTGCCCAGAGTGGTGTGACAGAGTAAGAGTCATCTGTCCCAATGGCTTGAAGAGCTGACACAGAATGGCTTGAGATGAAAAAAATAAACTTGTAAGAAACTACATCACATCTCTGTGTTTTGGCCTTCAGGAAGTAGCTAGATTTTACTTCCCCAGCTGCTCTCAATTCTGCCTACACGCAGCTCTCTCAGAGTTAAGAGAGGGCATTTCAGACTGGGTGGACTGAACTGATACACTGGTATTACACCTCAGAGAATCAAATGCAAAATTTGATGGTTATGGAGCATCTGCTGTGAGCTGTGGCATTTTCCTGTCCAAAACAGCTCTTAATCAACACACAGTTGGCTTAGCAAGTGAATGTTGTATGTACTGAAATAATGTTAAAAGTTTTTTTTTTTTAATTGTTCTGTATAGCTGTGTAAAATAATTCTATATTTCATTTTCTGTTCTCACTTAAAATAGCAACTTCTGTGGTTCAGACAGTGTAAACATACTAAATTACCAATAAAATATTTGTAATTTTGATTCATTACAAAAAGATGTCTGACCTTTTTTATTCTAGGGGGTCCCATCTAATTGTTAAACAGTGACAGTGATGTAAAAAAGAAAGAAGCAATTCAGAACTAAACATCAAAGCTTTTGAGTGGGATAATTTTATATAGCTGAAAACTGGAGAGAGTTCAGACTTGCATACGCGTTGCAGAATCATCTGATGTTTGTTCTAACCATCAGTCATGCCTATCTTTGCTCTGTTTGTATTTGCTCAAAATGTCAGTTGCAATCCCTTCTCTACACATCCATATATAGTCACAAATACTCCTGTGTTAGGGACATCACAAATAAAAGGCATGAAACTTTTAGTTCATTAGTTTAGAAGTGCATGCGCTCAATGCTGGAATATGCTTCATGAAAACCATCATTGCTTTGTATGCTGACATTGTAATTTTGTGCATATTTCAATTTACCTTTCTTAAAGCAGTGGAAAACAGTATCAGACTGAATATGCTGTAGCTGGTCAAATACGTAACTTTACATGCTTGCAGTATCTGTACATCCCAAAACATGTTTGCTGTTACTGCTGTTTTGTTTCTAATAATTAGGTTTCTTTCTGTTTAATTGGTGGCCTGCTGCATCCATGTAGATTTGTCTTTTTTCATGGTCCCAGGACCTTTAGCACATAGTTTCAAGTTTCCTGTGCCTGGAACAGAAGCACCTGTAGGGATGCGATAGATCCCTTGTAAGTAAATGTTCTACTTAATATCTCTCATAGCCTCTTCACTTCCTTTCCTGTCACTTTATGCTATGGTCCAAACTCTTCACCAACCACTCGTTATAAAGAAGCATTTTTTGCATATTTCTTTCAAGATCCTACAGCTTTCTACAGGCAGGCCATAGTCTTCACAGCCCAGCTAACTTCCTCCCATGCCACAATTCACTTTTCTAACTATTGGTCTTACCCACAGTTTTATCTACTGCAGTCTTGGCTCTCTCATTTAGGGGATTAACTGTAGCTTGTTGTCAGTTTTCTAAACAGACTAGAACTTGCATAGCAACATGGCTATACATGTAGCTTACATTCTTCAAACACTGACTCACTCTAACCAGTCTTCAGAAGGGTATATTTGGTACTCTGGTGTTGGTGGAGCAGGATGGTCCAACTGGCAACCTGTGGCTGGTTCTGGTCCATAGAGTGGTTCGCTTTTTACCGTACCTTCCTACAGCCTGCTGCTCAGACCATCATGTCCTTGTAGTCTGCTCACAAGGGCCCAAGAGTTTTCCATGTACATGCTGTGCACTTCTGTTCAAATTTCTAATCCAAGTTGCTGAATGGCTGTCCAGGAGATCAAGAGAGACAAAAGGACTCAAAATGAGTCTTCTGTGTTCTGCCAATCAACTTTCTTCTCAGTCAGCAGTGGTAGGATTACTGTATTGCACAGCACTGGCAGTCAGATGGTTTATTGGCTTGCAATTGCTAATGCAAAAGTACTATCATTAAAGCCCTGGCATCCATTTGGTCTTGTCAGTCTTTCTAAGTACTCTCATTTAGCTGTGAAGGAGGTCCCAAAGCTCGCTCTCACCACTGAAAAGGCGTATCCCTCTCAGTCCTCTTTCTTTCTCTTGAACAAGAAAACTGCCACTTAGAAAGAAAATTCTACTATAATTACAAGTAAAATCTTCAGAAATTGATATTTTACCTTAGCAATCAGTATTTTAAACCTCCTTGAAATCTCCGTGACAAGCTAAAGATGTCCTGATTGTGGGAGGTAGTATCTGGAAGGAATTTTACTGTAGTGACATGGTAACTAGTTAGAGCATACAGCTCAGCAGGGAGCTATATATGTTATGGGATATGAGGTTGCATCAAAATTTTCAGAACAGTAACGTGGAAAGTACCACATTAATACCTAGATGGTGCCCGTCAGTGGATATCTGTAATTTTAACTTCAGTGTTGCCATGAAAGTTCCCATCCCCTCTAGCCAACCTAGAAGGATGCCCTGGAAAAAGTGGGAGTCAAAACCTGAAACCAAGTAAAACCTGAAAGGAAGTACTAGTAAGGAATTAGGGTAACCATACCTTCTTCACAAAACAAATTTTACAAAACTTGCTTCTACTTGGTTTTTTTGCTGTTGTGGGAGAGCTCACGAGTCTGGTTACCCTGAAGGAACAGATCAACGGTGAATCTGAGGGAGTCAAGGCAATGGCTCTCATTTGAAGGTACCAGGAAAAAGAATAGTGACAAATCCCCAGGATGCTCATTTCTTCACAAGGAGGACAGGTTCAA